GTGTTCGACTCGACGATCGGGCACGATCGTGTTCGACTCGACGATCGGACACGATCGTGTTGGACTCGACTATCGGGCGCGATCATGTTCGACTCGACGATCGGGCACGATCGTGTTCGACTCGACGACCGAAAGTGCCACGTGGCGTTACGTGGTTGCATCTGGGCTGCGTGGTTGTGTCCTCACCGTCCGATCCTTCAAACCCGGGGTGCTCCACGGTGGTTATGCGTCTCGATCTTGGGCCGTATGCTCGCTCCGTGGTCGCGCTGAACACGCCTCTCGACAGCGCTGTGGTCCGCCGTCGCGTCGAGCAGGTGGTCTGCTATGCACGGACCGAATCACTGCGCTCCACACGAGCCTCCACTGCGCTGCGCTGTCGCACGAGCCTCCTCTGCGCTGTGCTATGGCACGAGCCTCCGCTGCGCTGCATCGACGACCCTCCGCTGCACTGCGCTACTGCTGCGTTGCCGAACTGAAACGAAAATGGGAACTGGTGGCCCTCCCTCATATATATAGTTTTTCGGGTGGGTCCTTTGCGCGCACCTGCTGGCCGTCCGATCCGGGGATACTGACGGTCGGGATGATCCAATGGGGAGTGGTGGGCCTCCCTCATATATGTGGTTTTTCGGGTAGGCCCTCCGCGTGCGCCTGCTGGCCGTCCGATCCGGGAATACGGACGGTCGGGACGATCCGATGACTGCACTCGGCCGCGATTAATTTCCCCCTTGGCCAGAGTGGAGGCGAGGGGATGACGTTCAGCTCTAGAGCAGAAATGCGATTCACGCACATGAGTAGCCGCGACATTGTGTCATTGTTAACGTTCCGGGAGAATCAGCGCAGTGGTCCACCATCGTCGACACGACAACTGCCCCGCTCTCCAGGTTGGTGCCGTTTCGGCCAGCACGGCCCCTCCCCCCCCCCACCCCGTCCAGTGCTGGTTTATTGGTGACGTCAACAAGTTTTCTCGAACACTTCCATTGCAGTCGTCGTCATGTTGAACACGATGGTCGTCGTGTCGAACACGATGGTCGACACGACTGTCGTCGTGTCGAACACGATGGCCGTCGTGTTGAAAACGATCGTCGTCAGGTCCGACACGATGGTCGTCGTGTCAAACACGATCGTCGTCGTGTCAAGCACGATGGTGGTCGTGCTGAACACGACCGTCGTCGTGTCGAACACGACCGTCGTCGTGTCGAACACGCTCGTCGTCGTATCCGGTTCGTTGAACACGATCATCGTTGTGTCGTGCACGGCCGTCGTCGTGTCGAACACGACCGACGTCGTGTCGAACACGGTTGCCATCGTATCGAGCACAGCCGTCGTCGTGTCTGACACGATCGTCGATGATCGTCGTCGTGTCTGACACGATGGTCGTCGGGTCCGCCGCAATGCTCGTCGGGTCGGACACGATGGCCGTCGTGACGAGCACGGTGGTCGTCGTGTCCGCCACGGTCTTCATCGACACGATCGTCGTCGTGTCCGACGCGATCGCCGTCCTGACGAGTACGGTGGTCGTCGTGTCGAACACGACGGTCGGTCGAGTCCTGACGCCGTCATCGTGTCGAACACGATGGTCGTCGAGTCCTGACTCCGTCGTGTCGAACACGATCGTCATTGCCACGATCGTCGTCGTGACGAGTACGGTGGTCGACGTGTCGAACACGATGGTCGTCGAGTCGTACATGACCGTCGTCGTGTCCAACATGTTTGCCGTCCAGTCGAGGGCCCTCGTGTCGATGATCGTCGTCGTGCCGAGATCGGTCGTCGATCATGACCATCGTCGTGCCGAGAGCGGTCGTCGGTCGCAACCGTCGGGCGTGGTTGTCGAACACGACCGTCGTCGTGTCGAACACGATCGTCGTCTTGGGCACGATCGTGGTTGTGTCGGCCACGGTGTTCGTCGTCGTGTCGGCCACGGTGTTCGTCGTCGTGTCGAACGCGATCTTGGTCGTGTAGAACACCATCACGGTCGTGTCGAACACCCTGCTCTTTTTCGCCACGACCCCCACCTTCGTTTCGACTTGCACAGATTTAGTGCGAGTTGCACCAATAGAACATCGTACCCGGGTGACTGTCTTTTGTCTCTTGTAGCACCGACTGCTTGTTGCGAGATTGCGATAATATAAAATGGAGCCCCTGTTGTGTTGGGCGCGACATTGGCGTTGCCGCAGTCGTTCGCCTGCTCACCCTGGGTTTCTGGAAACCTGTTGTGCGCCGTCGAACGAACTCTGCGCGAATTTTGCTTCGGATCCTCGAAATTTGGTACCCGGGAATCAAGACGGGGGACCCTTCCGTGTTGGGCGAGGCCGTCGCGTTGCCACGATGGTGTTCCTGCTCACTCGTGGCAGTTTTCCTGCCCTCTCTGCGTGGGTGGTGAGTACCACGTGTGCCGGGAATCAAGACGGGGGACCCTTCCGTGTTGGGCGAGGCGATCGCGTTGCCACGATGGTTTTCCTGCTCACTCGTGACAATTTTCCTGCCCGTTCTGCGTGGGTGGTGAGTACCACGCGTGTCCAGTCACCGTAGTTCCTAGAGTAATACAAAATCTCTCTTATCAATGCCCTCGTGCCAGGCTGTGTGCTGCGCGCCAGAGTCTTCGCCGTTCCCTTGTTGATGCCCGCTGGGTTTTGCGCGCCGTGGTCTCTGGCTTTCCGAAGCTGGTGCCCGACGTGACATGTGCTGCGTTTCCTATTGCGCGTCAAGATCTCCGCCTTTTCAATGCTGTCACACGCTGCGTTTTCCGTTGCTGGTGCCCCGACTTGAAATGTGCTACGCTTCCCACTGTCGTTTGATCTCCGACTTGGACAGACTCTTTTGCGTGTATTGCGCCTTTGGCACGGATTGGGCCTGATGACTGGATTGCTACCCAAATTCCACGGTCGTGTGTTATCCTCTCTCGGATGTTTCCTGTTCCCCTCCGTCCAGTGTACGGCTGTGTTTCTCAGGGTCATTTATAGGGCTGTGTTTCTCGTTGCTGTGTAGAGATGGTTGTCTGCTCCATTTCATTGACCTCTGATTTGCGCCTTTGACAGTGGTCCGCTGTTTTGTTGTCGCAGACACGTCTCGTGCATGGCTTGTGGTGTGCATGCTATGCCATGACAGGCTTGCAGCACAAACTTGGAAAGTATGGGCTGTGTGGCGTCTAATACAATGCTCAATGAGGATTTTCCTCCACCGCACCTGCCAATGTGTTCACAAGATGTTCGAAGTGGTCACGAACGTGTCGATAATGCTCTGGAATCTCCTGCTCATAAGAGGTCACAAAATATTGCATGTGCGGACACTACATGTGAAAGTGCGTATCCCGTCCTTCGATGCCCGGTTCGAACCTATGATGTAGAGAGTGCTGAAGGTCAGGAGGGTAAGGCCTCCTCTACTGACAACGACGCATCCGATGTAGATCATGTTGTATGGGTGCCAAGGAGTTCACTTCGAGATTTCGAGTACACAGGTCTTCTGTTTGGTGAGAGTGATGAAGGTGGTTCAGATTCAAGTGCTTCGGTGTCGTCTAGTGCTGATAGTTCTCCAGATAAAACCGATCATCCGCAAACGGGCGCTGAACAGAACACTGACAACTGTTATCGAAATGGCGATGAGACTTGTGACGTGATCTCTGATTTTGATGACATTTTTTCAAAACGTCTGTCCTCAGAGAAGCGTCCTTATACTTTTCGTCTCAGAATGCCGCGATCAAAGAAGATTCTGCAATCAGTTCATAGAAAACTTACCAAAAAAACACTGGCGAGCGTGCGTGGGCAAGTTTGCTGTAAGCAAGAGTGTTGCGCTCAAATGACCCTGGACGACATCAAAGCTGTCTGGAGTGCATACCACTCTAAGAAACAGCAGAGCAGGGATGCATGGTGGGTTGAAACGTTGAAGAGGTTCACCTTCATAGAAGATGAAAAGGATATTGTTCAACCTATTGTGGGGAGACGAAAGGTGTGCATTAGTGCTTGGTGTTTCACACTAGGTGTATGTAGGAATACATTTCTAAAAAAAAGGATGACTTTGTCAAAAGGCTACATTATGCCGGAGCATGGCAGTACTGGACTCAGACGTACATCAACAACATATGTGACGATGTACGGGAAACTAAGCTCCTTCGTGGTAGACAACGGAGATTCCATGCCAAATGACATGAAGATCAAAGAGGGGGAATCGAGAGTGGTGTTGAGATTGCCTGCTTGCTATAACAAGGTTGATATTTATAAGTTGCTAAAGTCGCAATTCGACAACATGGGTGCTCCTTGTGTTTCTCTCCAAGTTTTCTACAACATGTGGAGAACGCAGTTCTGGCATGTGAAATTCCATGACATTGATCAAAACTTTGCGAAATGCGATAAATGTGTCGCATACAAAACATCTATCAATTCTGCAAAGTTCGTGCGTGTGCGTGAGTACTTTGTTTCATTACGCGAGAAACACTTGGACTTGCAGGTCCAACATCGTGCTGCGTATGAGGTGTGGAAGGCTGAGTCGAAGAGACCGGGTTCCAACAGTTTGTGCATCATCATTGACGGCATGGACCAAAGCAAGACCAGCATTCCACACTTTGGCGGAGAACAAATTGAAGGCATTCACAAATATTCTGATGTTGAAAACGAATCTAACAGCTATTATTGCACACGGTCGCTCACCATCGGTCCATGTTCACACATGGTACCCTTGCTATCCACATGATTCTAATGCTGTAGTGTCATCCATTATGAAAGTTCTCCGCTACATCCAGGCGACAAGCGACTTGCCTCCTAAACTGAGGATACAAGTTGACAACCGTTGGAGAGAAAACAAAAACAGATACGTTTTGGCACTCGCTGCAACTTTGGTGAAATTTGGCTTCTTCAAAGAAATCGAATTCAGTTTTATGTTAGTGGGACACACACATACGGACGTTGATGCCACTTTCAGTCATTTCTCTCGCAAACTGAAAATGCACGATGCTTATACCATGCTCGGCCTCTTCAAGCTCGTTGCCAGTTCTCAAAAAGAATGTCCATCGTGCACATTCATGGATGAAATTGCTGATTGGCGAGCTGTTGTTAAGCCCTTCCTAGTCAAGAGACTGACCGGTCATACTCGTCCACATGCATTTAGGTTTTATATGCAGGATGACAATCCTGTGTTCCAGTGGAAAGAGTATTGCACTTTTCCTGAATGGTCTGCTCCAGTCTATTGCTTTAAACGAGATGGAAACAAAGCATATGTTGGACCCGAATGACCATTCGTGCCATCACCTGTTCCGCCGTCAGCTTCTCTGCCTACTAAAGATAGGAATTCGGATTTCGAATCGGGAATTGAAGGTGTGACGACGTTTGTTGGGTGGTTGGAGAACAAGCGGCACGAGTGGTTGAGAATGAAAGATGAGGTTAACTTCTCAAAGGAGAGTGCTCTTTCACACTGGAAAACTTTCCTCGAGACAGTCGAGGAGCATTACGGGTCTGGGTTTGCGACAACTTCACTCAAGGCTGGCTTCTGACCCTCAAAAGACAAAATTAAGAAGGATGATCCAGATGATATTGATATTGCCTTTCTCTTGAAGAGCAATGAGAATAAGGAACCGTTGTTCGTTGGACCGACCAATGAGCGTCCAAAGGCGGAGCTCAACCCAGTTCTCTTGCGTCCTTCCCAAGATGATATCAATGAGGGAGTTCCTGTATGGATGGGTAGAGTCATTTCCGATGTAGACAACGATATGAAATCGTCAACTTTCAACCATATTCTTATTGAATATTGGATGCCACAACCTATTGCTAAACATTTTTCTGTGCAATATTCGAACGCATGGAAAAAGACGTGGAAGAAAGACAACACAACATCACAACAGTGGCAGCATGTAAATTGTGTTGTGTGGAGCTGGACATCAAAGACATTGCATTTGGAAAATGGAGTGCACATTCCAAAATCGGTCAGAGAGAAGACCTTGGTATGCCTTTCACTTCTCGATAAAGAAGATCAGTAGGTTTTAAATAGGTGTTGAAAAAGAGTTAATCGTATTTCTTTACACGTATCAGTATGTTATTTAGTTGTCACTGAGTTTTCATTTATATATATTTAAACTGTATTTTCATGTGTTGCAGAATGGTTCAAGCATTTGTGACGACTGGATGGCCGCCAAATAATATGGTGTGGGGAAGAAATATATGGCATGATATGAGTCCAGTTTTTTTCACATCTGAAGTGATCTTTAACAGTGCAGTACTCAGTGTTAGAGGTGTGGATGCCCCACCGGAAGACTGGGAACATTCTCCTCGAGAGTCACTGTATATTTGTGGTCGCTGGTGTTGTGGAACGAGAACATACCCGCGAGAAGTGCTCGCACCCTTTTCAGAATTGTATTATTCAGCAGTCAAATTCTGCCACAACAATTTCAACGTGATGACCTTGTTTTGTGCAGCGGCAACTGTTCGAGGTCGATGCAAAGTATCTTTCCTTATTCATAATGACTATTCTGCCAGTGCAAGTGTTTCTAATGCAGGCAACATCGATGAACGACGACGGCAAGAATTCAGAAGGAGGATCATGGAGAAACCATCACTCAAAACACTCATGGATGGGGTTGTGGACACGGCCATAAAATATTTGCGAAGTCTCCTGCTGCGCGAATATGAAGTAATAGAAAGTTATAGAGAGTACAATGACTCGGCGTCTGACGGAAAAACTGATACCATCATTGTAGAAGATTGGACAACTTATACAAGGACAGACTGAAATGTTGTCTTGATCGCATTAGTTTATCCCTGTAGTCGATCTAGTTACTAGGCTTGTTTTGCCTAATTTTGGAGTGTCATTTGTGCTTTGCATTTAATTTTTTTTTTGTCTTACTCGATCAATGGCCTTGAGACATCATCTAAGTTCGAATAGCCCAGTCCTCCATTAATATAGAGTTATTTGGTTATCCGAGTTCAGTGGGATTCAAACAAAGGTTTGTGTTTTGACAGTTTATGGGTGACACTGCTTTCAAATTGCTTTTAATATTGAACTTTTGCATGTGTTTTCATTTAATTGTGTTGTTGTAGTTAAGCAGAATTTTTGTACGTGTTTTTGGAGTGTCCGCTGCACTTTGCTGTCAAATATTAACAGATCTTTAAATTTTCTTCTAAGGTCACATGCAAGGTTTTTCTGTTCTTTCATGTAAGCCTTTAAGTTCAAGGAACATCAGATTCCGAACTGATTGAAATATTGTCAAGTTGAACTTGATCCGACACTCACTGAGTCTCAAGTTTGGAAATATGTGTCCATGTTGTGTAAGCTTGGTATTATAATTAATATAATAAATTGAATATGACTTCTTGGATTTTGCGTTAGAATGGATGTATCCATACTATGAAAGGTTGAGATAATATACAATAGTTGACTCATGAAACTTGTATTGATGCGGATATGCAATTTTCTTTTCAGTACTTGATTATACAATATTTGTCAATAAGATGCTAAAATCCTTTGCTCTTGTTGTTAAATTTACTTTTGTTCTAGGCAAATTTGTTAATTTCATTATGTTCACTTTTTACAAAACATTTCATTTTTAACGAAAACACCGTTTCTTGGAGAGAATGCAACGCAACCGCCCTTGCGTTCGTTTCTCACTGAACGTAAGTACTGCCGTAAACGCCACGACCAAAGACTCAAATGACCAGGTACGAAGAGATACACGGGAAGACGGAGAGCTAAGAAGTTGGATGAGAGTTGGCTTAAGAGCCAACGATTTACTTAAGAAGGGAATAACAGACTCAAATGTGATAGTAACACCAGCTTTAATCCATCCCCGAGCATGTCGAAACAAGCCACGTCCAAAGGAACAAGACACAATAGAACCCCCGTACGCACGACGCAACACCTTCCATGAGTCAATAAACAACTCCCCGCCTCGGTATGCAACTACAAAACGATGAATGGACTTTTTCCGACATTTCTCAAGAATCGAAAGAAGACTACCTGAACACCCACCAAAACTTGGAAAACAGGTTATCAACGACTTACTCTCCAAACACGTAGAAACCGTCGAATATTGCTTACGTTTAGATTTTCTCAACCTCTCCCTTAGGCCGGGACGTGAACGTTTCGATCTCCAAGCTTTATCCCTAGTGTTTAACGATGGAGAAAGTAATCGTATAAAAAGCTTTTCGCATGCACTCACATCCTCTTCCGTAGACACGCACAACGGGATAGCAACATATTTATGAGCTCCACACCTACGCATTCATCTATACAACCTTTCGTTCCTAAGCCCTTGACCGATCAACTCAGCATTATATGCTCTACACACGTGTTCTCCCTAGCGTGGATGCAAATCACGAGTAGTACTCCCGATATACAAATGACGGCACCACGGAGAAAACAACGCATACATCAACGGTCCTTTCGCGGCCTCAAAGTCAAACTTATTCACAGTCAACCGAAGAAGGAAACCACCCAACTTCACTCCCCAAGATATCTGCCCCAACACTATCAAAGCCAAAACCGTCACGCACAAAAGGGTATTAAGTAACTTACACCGAATAAAATCAGTGGACGCTAATCGTAGTTGAACACAAAAGTGCAAAAAATTCCAAAGCCACGTCACGTTCGGGAACGAAATCACGAAGTGGTTGAATCATCGTTGACCTCGGTATTGTCGTTACCACCCTGCTCGGTCTCCTCGGTAACCTCATCAATCAGCACCCCACCTTACTTCAAAGTCCCGCCTCGATCTTTGTCGAAGGCTATATCAGCACGCTTAAGTGCCAACTCCCCCTTGGTCTTGTCCAACGTGGAGTAGGTGACCCCCTCCTTCTCACATAACGCAACAATCTTCTCCTTCTTTAACGGCTTCAGCGTACGTCTGGTCTCAAACAAAAAAGCATCCCGATCGTTGGCCTCCACAACCTGCGTGGTAGGACTCATCGGTCGCTTCTCTTTGTCCGCAATTGCCACAACCACCTTGTCCAGACGCGTTTTGAGATTAGAAGTCGTCGGTGTACGCCTCACAACTTCCAGTCGAGCCATCTTCTCCTTCAAATGATCTACTTCCAGCTCCGCCTCCCTTCGTCCGTTTAGCTCACGTAGCCGCCATTCTTTTAGCGATTCAATTTCCCGCTCCTGGTGCTCAACCTTCTCCTTCAACTTTAAGTCTTTCGCGGATGGTGACGGCATCAGAGTCATCCGAGCCCGAGTCCTCGTCCCAGGGACGGGGGTAGTAGTGACCACAACACTCCCTCGCTTATTGTCAGGTCGGAGCGCTTCTTGCTTCCAAACGTCAGCCGCTGCAACCGCTTCATCATTCACCACTCGCAGCCTCGCAATCTCATCCTCCATAACAGCAAGCTGGCGATCAGACTTCACCCTTTCTTCCTCTAGCTCACGCTTATATCTATCAAAAACACTTTCTGAAGACGACGCCCCTTTACCCTCACGCAAGGTTTTCCGCAAATTCTCAATCTCCAACCGCATTTTCGTGACTTCATCTTCTTTATCCCCTTTCTTACTCTCCAACAGTTCGCGAACGGAATCCAGTTTCCCACTCAGTTCATTCCTCATCTCCGCCTGGAATTCTTCTCGTGACTTCTTCTCTTGTAGTCTACGCTCCTCCTCTTCTTTCTCTTTCTTGATTCGTTCTTCTTCTTATCTTTTGCTCTTTTCTTTTGCAATCTCAGCATCCTGGTGCGCCTTGATCCCTGCAACAGTAACCTCAAGGTTTTCAACTCGTGGCCGCAAACCACCTCCATAGCCGTAACCATACCCACAGTATGCTCCGGAGTTCCCAGCCATCGGTAAGCTGTGCGCAGGAGTTGGCACCGTCACAATCGCGGAACTCGTGTTGACAGGAGCAGCAGCAGGGGTGGCAGCGAACGTAAATCGCCTATCAGGTAGGGGGCAGAAACGAGAAAGGTGCCCGGGTTGCCCACAATTGTAGCACGTCCGAACTCCTGACGGCTGACCACCGCTTTGAGCCATGATATTCCACTGAAGTGCTGAAGTACGAAGCCACTCGTACGTAGTGCTACTTCTACGACGGTTACCTCGAAAAAAGAAGTTGTTGTGATGACAACAAGACTTCACAGAAACTTCAATGTAAGCGACCAAGCCGACATCAAGTCAACACAGGAGAAAAACTGATAACAATAGGACAAACCACACGACATGAGAGGGGAGGAGAAGGTACGAGGATGGAGAAAACAAGTCAAGTATAGTAATCCCGAACGCAACGTTAAAGTTAAGCGTGAAGATCAATTCCGAATGCAAGCATCCGGTTGGCGAAGCGACCCGACTGGTTTCGGATGGCCGCCAATGCCAGCACTCATCAGGGGTCTGTCAGTACAAAACTAACCTGACTGATTCTATTTATGGATGGACATCAAGAAAAGGTCTAGAGGGACTAATGATCTAGGTACTACCTAAAGCCCACGTACATGTTCTTAAAAAATCTAGGAATGGTCTTAGTTCTGTAGACCTAGAAACCGCCTTCTTTAAGGTCTCAGGTTCGAATACCCTCCACCCACAGTGTCAGCCAGTCCTAAAAGGGAAAAACACAATCGACAGACAATATCCCAACTGTGTCCGGAAACCAAAGCACACACCGTCATTGGTACAAGTCCCACCACAGAACCGTAAACCAATCAGTCTGCCGTAACTCACCGATCATCACTGCCCAAAGTCCAAAACCGAAACAGCAACCATAAAAAAAACTGCCCTTGGTCGCCGTACTCCTTATTTCGAGGCTAGCGCTGTGCCCGTTCTCACTACTCGTTCTAATGCCCACACAGGGCTCGACAGCAACCAGTGCAGCCCGATGTGCTCAGCCAGTCTGGCTGTTCTCTGTGGAAGATTGCTGATGGGACAAACTACTAGTTGGTTCGATCAGTCTTTCACTTCATAAGCCCAAGTTCGACGAACGTAGTATGGCAGCATTGCTGCTGCTTCGCCACAGTCTTCTCCTGCCCGCTATGCCCAATGGAGTTTGCCACCACCTCAGGCCCTCAACAGGCAGTTCCCACACAAACAGCCGTTTGCGGGGCCGACGGCTTGGGCCTGCTGCAAAACCTAGGCATGGGCCTAGTGCAAATCCCGGTGGTAGTAGCAAATATTCAAATGAGGACTTCGAAGATCAAAGTAGGGAGGGTTCACCGCCAGTGGCTGTCGCAAATTTTGCGGCCCCTGCCCCAATGTTGCCGTCGGTAGTAGTAGAACCTTAGCACGAAGATGGAGGGCGGTTCGTGAGGAGCCGCGGAAGCGGCTTCCCCGCAGTGCCCCGGGCCGCTCCGCTCTACTACACTCGGGAATGGTCCTTCTTCTTTTGGTTCCAAACTGCCTTGCTCAAATTCAATCCTCCCCCAACAGACGGCGGGGGCGGACTGTATATCCACCTCAGCCCCTGCCACCTTCGGGTTGCGTGCCCACCAGCCCACTCATAATATTCTCCAATTCCCCTCCACTTTAGGCTATTGACGCTCTCCAAATGGGAAGCGAGGAAAACCACGACCAAGGACCCCACCACTCGCACGCACGTTGACCTCTTAGGTCCGTGCTTCAACGCGGGTGGGATGGAAAACTTTTGTCAGCATCCCCAATACGCAGGAACCCGAACGGGTCCACCAAAATACGTGTGCTCAAGGTCCTCGACTGCCGTGTCGGCCACCCGTGTCCTGTGGCATAGCAACTGAGTCAGACTCGTCAAACCCGGTGTTGGCCTCGGAACCGATCACCGAAACGAAGATAAATAGATAAATAATAATAAAAATAAGAATGAATGTCGTGCATCCCGCTGGCCAGCGACGCCGCGCACACCCAGGTTGCGCATGGTTGCGCCTCGCCGTCAATACCCCGCACGCGCCGCTCACCCAAACGAGGATCTAAGCTTCCTCTCGTGCCCGCGCCGTCAGACGAGCGAGGCTGCACTGGCGTAACTTGCAGAAAACATGCCAAATGCCCTTGTAAGGGTATTTGGTACGACAACGGCTGCCTCCTCCCTAGATTCTTCTTCTTCCTCCTCATCCCGCCAATCCTTGTCCCGCTTCTCGTCTTTTGTTTTTGTTAACGGCCTCCTCCTCCCCCGTTTTTTGTTTATTTTTGTTTTTTGTCTGATCAATCAATCAATCAATCAGTCAATCAATAATTGATGGATTGATTGATTGATTGATTGATTAAAAAAAAAGCCGACAAAAAAAAAAAAAAAAGTGGGGGAGGAGGAGGCCACGACGATGGAGGAGGAGGAGGAGGCCACGGCGATGGAGGAGGAGAAGGAGGGAGAGAACTTAAAGGATGAAGAAGAAGAAGATGAAGAGGAGGAGGAGGAGGAGGAGGAAGAAGTAGAAGAGGAGAACGAAGAGAAGTAGGAGTAGGAAGAGGAGGAAGAAAAGGAGGAGAAAGATGAGGGGAGGAGGAAGAAGAGGAGGAAGAAGAGGAGGTGGAGGAGGAGGAGGAGGAGGAGGAGGAGGAGGAGGAGGAGGAGGAGGAGGAGGACAAAGAGGATGATAAGGAAGAAGAGGAGGAGGGCCCGACGATGGAGGAGGAGGAGGCCACGGCAACGGAGGAGGAGGAAGAAAAAGAAGAGGAGGAGGAGGAGGAGGAGAAGGGGGAGGAGGAGGTGAAGAAGGAGGACGACGACAACAAGGAGGACGATGAGGAGGAGGAAGACGAAAAGGAGGACGAGAAGAGGAGAAGGGGAAGGAGAAGAAGAAGAAGAAGGACGACAACAAGGAGGGCGGTGGGGGAAGGGGAAGGGAAGAGGAGGAAGAAAAAGAAGAGGAGGAGGAGGAGGAGGAGAAGGGGGAGGAGGAGGTGAAGAAGGAGGACGACGACAACAAGGAGGACGATGAGGAGGAGGAAGACGAAAAGGAGGACGAGAAGAGGAGAAGGGGAAGGAGGAAGATAGGAGAAGCGGAAGGAGGAGGAGGAGGAGGGGGGGGAGAAGGAGGAGGAGGAGGTGGACGAAGGGAAGGTGGCTCACCTGATGTGGGCGGGCGATGGCGTGTGGGGTTGCACTCGTCGACCTCGGATTTTGGCAATGGCAATGCCGAACTCCGGTGACAATGCGTGGGCCGAGACGCGCGGGGGAGAATACCACTGCCCCCATTTCAAATTTGAAAATAGCCCAATCTGGGCAGTCGATCTCGCAGATCTAACGGCTCATATTAGGCCTTTTTTTCCCCTTTTAGAGGCCCTACCGGCCTCCAACAATGCTTCCAGTTGGCGCCCCTGGTTCACTTGTCCTCGCAGTCCACCATTGCGCCGCCCAAGTTTGTGTCCTAACCTCCCCCTATTTTTTTTCCTCGATCGGATGTAGGGCCCCCAAGGGACGACCGACCGGTTGTCCAATCGGACAGTCCCAGACGGTCAGGGGGGTCCCGGACGTCCGATCAGATAACATAGTAAAAAACAAATACAAAAAAGGAAAAAAAGACACACGCGCACACAGACAGACAGACACAGGCACACAGTCAAACAAATACACAACACAAACAAACACATAAAGATACACACACACACACACACACACACACACACACAAACACACATGAACACACCTACACACACACACATACAAACACACAACTGGGCCAGTGGGGGTTGGGGGATGGGGGATGGGGGATGTGGGGGCAGATTTTCGAGGGTGGGGTTTGGGGGATGTGGGGCCAGATTTCTCAAGGTTTGGTTGCAGTACTCACCAAACGTGCATGACGGGGTCTACGCATGCATGACTTAGCTCTAGGGTACGGTAGGGATATAAGTCGCTCCGGATAGTCTGAGTTCCGCTTAGCCTTGGGTAAGCTAGGGGAAGGAGAGTAGGATGTGTCCGCGGGCGTTGGCCTGCCTTGCTTAGGTAGTCCTGCTGGGTAGACTCCCTGAATTGGGCTTGTAGAAGATTGCATGAATCTGGCGTCCGAAGTTCCGTTACGGCAAGGTTTTTTAGTCCGCTTCCGCTTCCATTAGGGTTGGGAGGTTGGCCCAACCCTGGTGCTTGTCACTGCTGTCTGGTCCAAATTGCCCTCAATACTGGTAGGGTGATGGTCTTGAGTGCTGGTCACACTGAGGCACGATAGTAGGGACAGAGGGTGCGCTGGGAGTATTAACGTGGGGATGGGTAGGGTAGGTGGCTCATCGTGTGAGGACAATCATTGGCTGCTGCTACCAGCAATCACCGCGGGGCTGGTCCTTGGCCTCTACAACACCCTGGACTGTAAAAAAAAAAAAAAAAAAAAAAAGATTTTTTGCTAGAACGTGGAATAATATGTTGCCATATGTTTTTTTGTTTTTTTTTTTGCATATGGTGAGTAGAGGCTCTTAAGGGCCACTGCAAGTATTCCTAAGAAAAGAAAAACGAGAAAACAAAAGAAAAATGAGAAAACAAAAGGAGAACGAGAAAACAAAAGAAAAACAAGAAAACAAAAGAAAAACGAGAAACAAAATAAAAACAAGAAAACAGAGAACTAGTGACCCATAATTGTGATCAGTGTGATGCACAAACCTGAATTCAAATCCAGACTATATATTCTCCGCCCACGCAGACAGACTAGAAGTTTAATGTCTATCTCTGCTCCACGAGGGGTCCTTGCTAATACGTAGGGGCCCTTCGGAAATGAGACTGGACAAATAGATTGGAGCATTTGTAAAAAAAAAAAAAAAAAGGACTACATGCACACACATGTGCTCACAGTGTTGGGGTATTGGGTGACGCCATTTTTTTTCCCTCTTGCATTTTGATTTTCGGAAGGG